ATGATTTGTTCTAATGCTGTTTGTAAATAGGATCTCAAGTCCGCATCTTGTACAGCAATTAACCACTAAGAAGAATATATGCAATGTGTTATTTGTTAAAACTGTACTTCTGATTTGATTTGAAACTGTCTCATTGATGTTTATCAATAAAATTTAAAAAAAAGTTGTAACAAAGTATTAAAAATGAAACTTTTATAATTAGAAGAAAAAGTATATTTCCATATTCTGTTGACTTAAGAAAAAGAGGTTTGTACCTATGTTATTTGCTTATTATTTCTTGCCTATATCTTGTAATATTTCTTGCCTATATCTTGCCTATTTCTTGCCTACTTTGGCAATATCAATACACGATGTACTAACTATTAAAAAAAAATAAAATAAAGAATAAAAGAAAATAGAAGACAAATAAAAATACCAATCTGAACAAAATGAGTAAATACCCCCAAAGACCAGATATTTATAATCCAATTTACATAAAGTGTCCAAAATCGAAATATTTTTAGAGATACATCAATAACAAAAGTAGATTTGCAGTTTCCTGAGGCTGGAATAGATTAGCAAAAGAAAGGACAAGTGGGAAAGGAAAAGGATTCATAAACTGCAGATAGGGGTTTCTTTAGAAGGTATTGAAAAGTTCTATAATTATAACTGGTGATGCCTGTATAACTCTAGGAATATAATAAAAATCATTGAATTGTAAAAATTAAAGTAAAAAGTAAGGGGCTGAGGAGATAGCTTGGTGGCCTAAGCACCTGCCTGGCAAGCACAAGGATCAGGGTACAATCCCAACACAGAATGCCATGCCAGCTCCAGAACCCCAGGCTCAACATGCCAGCCACTGAAACTGGGCATGGTGGCACACACCTGTGATCCCAACACTAGGGAGGCTAGGACAGAATGATCACTATGAGTCCAAGCAGCATAGTGAGACCCTGTACCAAAAATATAATTAACTACTTTTTAAAAAATTCTTTAAAAATTAAAATTAAAAATAATAAAATAAAAAGTAAATGTTTCTAAAGTTCTGCCTGTTGACACCAGTTCCAAATCCTTCCTGGTGAGGTGGTCTTCAGATAGTGGAGTTAGCATTACAAGAACATTCTACTTCTGGTGAAAGTTCTGACTGGAATTAGATTGCCTGGATTCAAATCCTGACTCTTCCACTTACCACTTAGGTGATCTTTGACAAGTTAACTCTCTGCGCTCTCTCTTCTACCTATAAAATAGGGAGTATAATAATATCTCCTTCATCAGCTTATTGTAAAGATCTGACAAATTCTTATGCTTAAAATAAAGGAATGTTAATTATGTGCCAATATATTAGATAATTTTGATAAAATAGACAAATTCCAAGGAAGAAACAAACTACCAAAACTCATTTAAGGAGAAAATTAAAAATCTGAATAGACCTATAACAAAGACATCAAATTAATGATCAAAAAAACTAACAACAAACAAAAATCCAGGTTCAAATGGCTTTACTGGTGAATTCTACCAAATATTTAATTAACACCATTTCTTCATGAACTCTCCACAGGAAACAGAAAAGATGGAGATAATTTCTAACTCACTCTTTAAGGTATTATTTTGATACAAAAACTGACAAAGAAATCCTAAGAAAACTACAAAATAATTCTTATGAATATTAATGCAAAAACTCAATGAAATACTAGAAAATCAAATCCAGCAACACATAAAAGGAGTATACAGTATAACCAAATGGGATTTATTCCAATTATATAAGGTTAATTTAATACTCTAAACTCAGTTCATGTACTACACTTATACTTACAGAAAACAAAATCCTCATACTCATTACCAATAAATCCAGAAAAATCATATGACAAAATCTAACATTGTTTTCAGCAAACTAGGAACAGAAAAAAGATTCCTCAACCTGATAAAGGATGTCTGTAAAAAAAAACTCAAGGTAATATGATAGGATTGTGCCTTCCCTCTAAGGTCAAGCAAGGGCAAGATGCCAAACTCATGATTCTTCTACTCAACATCGTACTAAAGGTTCTAGCTAGGGCAATTAGGGAAGGATATTAAATAAAAGGTATCCCTATCAGAAATAAATAAGTTTAAATATCTAAATTCACAGATGACGTGCTCTCAGAGACAATCCTAAAGAATTCACACAAAAACAGAACTAATAAATTCACAGAACCAAAGGACACAAGATAAATATACAATAAACAAATGTGTTTCTCTTATAATTAAGTTTTAAAAATTAAAAAATGGTTTCATTTATGATAGTGTCAAGAATAAAATGTTTAGATGCAAATTTAACAAGAAGCATAAAAATTATATCCTGAAAAGTTTGTAAAACATTCAAATAAATTAAAGATCTAAATAAATACAAAAATACTGCATGTTCATGAAGGGAAGACTTGGTATTTGTTAACATGCCAATATTTTCCAAGTCAATTTACAGATTTAAAGTAATTTACTGAAGAATCCCAGCTGACTTATTCATACATTCAACAAGCTGATTATGTAATTTATATGAATTTCAAGGAACCCAGAAGAACAAAATAATAATAAAAAAATGAAAATAAACTGGGCATGAGGATGCATGCCTGTAATCCCAGCATTCAGGAGGCTGAGGCAGGAGGATCACCATGAGTTTGAGTTCAGCCTGAGCTACATAGTCAGTTCAAGGCCAGCATCAACTACATAGTGAGATCCTATCTCCAAAAACCAGAAAAAGAAAACAAGATTTGGAGGGCCATGTTCTCCAATTTCAAAATATACTGCAAAGCTACCATAATCATGATAATGTGGTACTAGCATAAGAAAGGTAATGGTAAACATAGACAAATAAAATTCTATTTATGGAACAAAATTGAGTCAAGATACAAATCCTTATATTTACAGTGAATTAATTTTTGATAAGGATGCCAAGACAAAGGGAGAAAGATTAGTATTCTCAACAAAAGTGCTGGGGGAACTAGATAACCACATGTAAAAGAATGAAATCAGACCCCTTTACTAACAGCAAGCAAAAAAAATTAACTCAAAATAGATGAAAAACCTCAATGAAGATCTGACACTTTAAAATTCTTAGAAGAGAACAGCTATAAATTCTTTGTGACCTAGGATTTGGCAACAGTTTCTTAAATATGACATCATGAGCCTAAAAACAACAAAAAATTAGACTTCATCAAAGTTAAAAACATTGTGGTTTGAAGTGCATCATGAACAAAGTAAAAATAGAACACACACAATGGAAGAATCTACTTGTAACTCATATCTAATAAGTGACTTTTATCTAGAATATATAAAGAATACTTAGAACCAAATAATACAAACACTAATAACTGAATTCTTTTATTGTGAAGGATCTGAATAGGTATATATGCCTCCAAGGAAGACACAGTGCAGTAACTATGTGCAGTCACAGCATGGCAGTTCCCCAATATGTTCAAAATAGAATTACCATATGACCGAGTAACCACACTCATTGGTATAAATGGAAAAAAATTAAAAACAGACATTCAAACAAAAACTCACACACAAATAATCAAAGCGGCACTAATGACAATAACCAAATGGTAGAAGGAATTCAAATTTCTATCAATTGATAAATATATGATATTAATAGTTAATATATTAACTGACAGATAAATATATGATATATTCATATAATGGAATAGTATTTGATAATCTTAAAAATGAATACTGATATCTGCTGCAACATTATAAGTGAAAGATAATACAAAATCTCTCACATTATGTGACTTCATTTATATGAAACATCCAAAATAAGAAAACCTATATAGAGACATAAGGTAGTTTAGCAGTTACTTAGAGCTGAGAAGGATAGGAAGATTGAGAGGTGAAAGGGTTTGGAGCTGGTGAAAACGTTATAAAATTGCGTTGGCTGCATAATAGTGAATATAATAGTATGTTATGTGAGTTAAATTTTAATAAAGCTATTTTAAAAGCTTACATAACATATAATTACAATGAATACTCAATAAATGATAGGTATTTGTAGTTCTAGTACTATATTTAGGGTCCATTCCACTGAACCTTAAACAAGGGAAGAATGTTCACGGCATAAGTGAGAGCTTCCTTGCCAAAGGCCAAAAAATGATAAATTCAAAAGAAAATAATACAAGGAACTAAGGTCAAATGTGTACAAAACCCCAGGAATCCAGTTTCAAGAAGAAACCAAGTAGGGATAAATGGTTTGATATTTTGGTTTGATATTTTCTACTAGGTTATTAGCAAAGTGTCTGGTCGACCTTGCAGATTAATTTTCTAGAATTCCCAACCTTCTTACTTTATTTACTGGAATCCAAGTTTAGCCCTGTTATAGCCATTTATTTAATCTATCCAATGACGCCTGAAGAAATAATTCCGACAAGAATAAGGAGAGACTATAGGAAGGACTTAATCTACTTTTTAAGTCTTTTCCCAGTAAAAGTTTTCTAGGGGTAAATTATTCTTCCTTTTTGGGAATGCTCATCTCCCAAAGTTTCTAATGGGATAAGCAAGCTGGTAAACAATCAGCTAGCTGACAAGGGTGCTTAAGAGTTAAATTGCCTCCACACTCCTATAGACTAGTTCAGAGTCTAAATTACTAAAACAGAGAAAAGATGAACATACAGTCTTTGGGCAAATTCCTCAATGACATTAATTCATGTGCATGCATGTACGCATACATATACCATCACCATGGAAGAAAAAGGAAAAGAGACCTATAACCCTTTACCAACCATCGCTAGACTCACTTTTACACACAAAGTTTATATGTGGTAGTCACCACTGTGGCTCACTAAGCATTCTCTTAATAGGGACAAGAAGGATGTCACACATTCTCTGTTGCCATCTACTGCAGTATAATCTAAGTCCCTCTTAGCTTTCCGTTCCCATCTAATCTAAGTCCCCTCATACCTCCCTGTTCCCATCTAATGCAATGTAAGTCCCCCTCTTACCTTTTTTGGCTCATTTCAGTACATTTATCCAATTCAAGATTATATTTCCTTTTGTTAATTATTTTGGGAACATCTTTTACAGTGTCTTTATTGGCTTCCTTCTTAGATTGGGCAGTTTGACTTTGAAAAGCCTACAAAAAAAGGGAGAGAAGGAGGTACAAAAGTGAAAAGAAATACCCAACAAGTTGTTCTCACAAGAAAGTCCTCAGCACCAGTTGCACAGCCTCACTCAGGGTGCATCAAAGTCTCCACCCTAAGTTTTGCTAGAGTCCTGGGCATAGTTGCTCCCTGGCAGAACAGGCCAGTCTTCTGCCTGGTTAGAAGCAAGGGTTAACTTTCTGCCTGTTTTGTCTGGTGTTCTGGATGCTGTAGGAGATGACACAGCCCCATGCACCCTCACTGGGACTGCTAGAATCTCCTCATAACAGTCCCAGGAGCACCTGGGTCTCCACTGGGAACCTCAAGGCAACACAAGCCTCCACCCGGTGTCTAGAGCTGGTCCTGTGGACACCAAAATATATATCAAGTACACAGTACTGGCCTCCAACCAGCAGGAACACACCCCAGGAGCCTCAGAACTCAATGCTCCAAACCTTTCCTGGGCTGGTGCTCTAGCTTGAACAATTGCTACAAATGAGTTGACAGACAGGGGACCCACTGAAGTGACAAATCTCCATCCAAACCCAGACTATAATGAAGAGCAAAGAGGGACTAAGACTTACAAGATTCAAGACCGCAGGTTCTCAAAGAAAACACTCTTCTGAATTTTTTTTTCTATCTTTTTTTTCTTTTCTCCTTGAATTTAACCCAAAATTTTCTTCTTATCCTCTACGGGGTTTGTTTTATTATTATTATTATTATTATTATTATTATTATTATATTTGCATTTTGGTGGTACCAGGGATCAAACTCAGGACCTTGTGCTTGCCAGGCAAGCATTTATTCCATTGAGCTATCTCCCCAGCCTCTCTTTTGGTTGTTGTTGTTGCTGTTGATTTACTATTGGTGGAGTTTGGAGCTGTATCACCCACTTTCTTTTTTACTTTCTTTCTTTCTTTTCTTAGCTTTTTCAGATAGGGTTTTCACTAAGTAGTTCAGGCTAGCCTTGCACTCACTTTGTGGCCCAGGCCTGACTCAAACTCAGTGATCCTGCTGTCTCAGCTTCCCACCTGTACCAATATGCCCAACCAAATCCTATTTCCTTGTTTCCCCTTTTTTAAAATATAACTTTGTTTTAGGCATTCCTCCCTTTTTTCCATCTCTCCTTTTCTCTTTTAATCAGTTTTCTGAGTATTTATTTTCTTTTCCTCTAGTTTAATCTTCATTCCCTATCAATTAATCCTAGTTGTATTTTTCTCTTACTGTTGTCTAACAACAATAGTTTTCCTTTACTCCTTAATAGAACCTTTCACATCAATCTTAACACCATTCCTCAGGTGATGAGCATTTTGGCTGTTTCCTAGATTTGGCTATCACAAATTGTGCAGCTATAAACATAAGTACACATGTATCACTATGATATGATGTTTTCAGTTCTTTTGGGGAAATTCCCAGGAGGGGGATAGCCAATTTGAATGGGATTTCCAGTCCTAGTTTTTTAAGGAGTCTCTACATTGATTTCCATAATGGTTGCATTAGTCTACATTCCCAACAACAATGGACAAGGGTTCCTTTTCCCCACAGCCTCTCCAACATTTGTTGTTGGTTGATTTCTTTATGATAGCCATTCTTTCTGGGGTGAGATGGTATCTCAGTGTTGTTTTAATTTGCATTTCATGGATGGCTAGTTATGTAGAACATGTTTTCATGTATTTATTAGCTTCTAGAATTTCTTCCTCTGAGAAGTATGTGTTCATGTCAGATGCCCATTCCTGGATTGGGTATGTAAATTTTGGGGCCCTAATGTTTTTTAGTTCTTTATAAATTCTAGAGAGAACACTTTTTCTGAGTGCTTATTAGTTAAGATTTTTTTCTAAATTTGTGGGTTGTCTTTTCACTCTGTTGGTAATTTTTTTTACATGCAAAAACTTCTCAATAAGAAGAGGTTCCAGTTGTTAATTCTTTCAAGTGTTACCTGTCCAGTTTGATTTGTGTTCATGAACTGTTTGCCCCATATCTTCAAGATTTCCTCCTACTTTTTCTTCCAGAAAAAGGAGGGCCACAAGGAAAGCCAACATTTTGGCCCTAGCCTTCTAAGGTCAATTAAGACTCAGGACATATAAGAACTTGTACTGTAACGTCATGTAACTCAGTAGTGTCCCAAATTTTCTGATCAAGGAGATCATGAGGCCAAAGAGGAAAGTGATCGATGACGTAGAGTGTGCCTAAGGAGAGTCACATGGAGAGAAAACATTCTCTCAGGATTTCACAGAAAGCACATTGGCCAAGCAATGGCCGTGACTCATCCACATGGCTGACACTGACAAAGGTTCTACAATCTGAGGATCTCAGGATAAATCTTGAGGGGATTTCACTGACCTTCTCAGACCCAAAAGCTACAACTCTTGTTGCATAGGTCCTGCTGTACCTTGGTCTTAACTATCCATCAGAAAAGTATAAAAACGAAGCATAAGAAATAAATCCATGCTGTTATGTTGAGCTGCAGGGGACTCAGGTCATCAATTTCTGACATTGCCAATCAAGCAGACGACCCAATACTATTATGGGCTACTGGACTCTTTTTGAATATTTTGCTGAGTTTGAACTGCATCTTCTGATTTGTGTAGATACCTTGTTTCAGCCAACTCTCTAGAGCCATGGCTAACTAACCCAAGAAATAATCCAACCTTACATATGTATGCATGAGTAGGTTTTTTCTACAAATTGATAGTAAATCTAAAATCATGCTGAAAGCTAACATATATATTATAATCAGTATGGAAAACAGAATACATTTCAAAAAGGTAGTCACACAGCATCTAAAGAGCAGGGATTCAAAGATATCTTTACCAATGCTTATCCAATCCTGCACAAGAGAGTAAAACATTATCTAGCAGGTACAAGTATTTTGGAAAAGAAATACTCTATTTTAGATGGCACATCAGGCTTCTTTGTAGCCTAGTTGAGATAAAATTTCAAAATCAATATTGGAAAAGTCTTCATCTGTAAAGTATAGATGAGTATAGCATTTACTATAGACTGAGAGGAGGATTGAGTTTATATAGGAAAAAGTGCTTGGACTAGTGTCTGATATATAGTAAGCACTCAGTAGCCATCAGTCATTACTATTTTGATAGAGACTACTTTTGGCCTGATTTTGTACTCAGCAACATTGTATTATGATTTTTGCTAGGACCTTTATATTAGAAGGTAGATGATTTGGACATTAACTTAAGAATTCCAGTTAAGTGAGATTCTAGATTTTCACAGTTGAAAACCAGATCTTTGAACTATGGCTCTCAATTTTTCTGCATATCCAGGAGATATTTCTGTCATTATTACTGGGCTAATGGTGTAATTTAATGCCTGGGTGACAGAGATGCTAGCTTAGATCAATCCTACACAAGAGAAAAATTGTCTTGCCCCAAATGTCTATAGTGCTTGAACTAATAAGAACTGCCCTAGATGAAAATGATTCCACAACAATGGTTACCTCCAAACTCTAGGCAGCCAGCTAGGCCACTACTGGACCTTCCCAAAATACAGTATAATATCCCATTTTTTCAGTTACCTACAACTTCATATTTGTTAAACACTCTATCTGCCATTCCTGAGAACTCTACCAATTAAATCAAATGGTTATGTGCCACAGGAGAAGATCCCCTGCAGTTTCAGAAATTGGGTCACTGGTTCCTAATAAAATCTGCTCTTAACACTCAGGGGGGAGGGGCTGGCAAAATGGAGAGACTCTTCAAAAAAGAGGCTATGTAAGGCTTATGCAAAACCAAAGCAAAATTTTGAACTAGTATACTCACATTTGTGATATCTTCAAAAGCTGACCTCTTTTTAAAGTTCTCCTGAGGTGAGGATGGACATATATTTTCTTGGTAATCATCTCCCATCTGAAAAAGTAAAAGAAGTAAATGAGTATATCCAATAGTGAACAGACCCTCTTCAGGAACATCTTCAGGGCTTTGGAAAACTCCAGAATCTCCAAGTAACTGGAAATATACAATAGATCCCATAAACTACAACCAAAAAGATAACTTGGCACTCAAAGCTTCACTGATGATGAAGACAAGACTGCGAAGAGACAAGATTACCTTCAGTGCAACTTTCAGAATGAGCATTATAGCTTGTGAGGGTAAGTTTTCCTCTAATTTCTCATATTTATGGTTACTTACCATACTATGTAAAATTAAACAGCACGACTTCTAGTCATTCCATTAGTATGAGTGTTTTCAGGTAAATCTGTTCAATAATTTAAGAGATATTTAAGCAAGTCTTATGTTAAAGTAGCTGACTTAAGATAACTCTAAAAAATAAAACTGGGAAGATAGCTCAGGGCATAAGTGCATGCCTGGCAAG